GAAATATCAACTGGAAGAAAGGCTTTCGATGATTATAAATTTGATCTTAAACTTGCGATAAAAATTTGCAAAGGATTACGACCAGAATTACGTCAGATACACCAGATCGTTATATTAAATTAGCCAAGCGATGCATGGATTCAAACCCGAAAAAACGACCTACTATCCGATATGTTAATGCTTTGATTACTACATGGATTGAAGAAATAGAAAGCCCTGATGATGAAAATAAAATAAAAAATCAATTTTCAGAAGCTGATAAAATTGAATCTAACTTTGACTTTGAATCACTAAAACATTCAAATAATATCCATATTAGTAAACCTATCGATGTACAAGGAATCTTAAACAGATTATCAGAATGAAATTCATGATAAATCATAACAAGGTATAGTAAAGTTGTATAGTCTATATTACTATATTGTAAATTATACTGAATTTCAATATGATTTTTATATAGATCCATGAAAATTTTTAAATGTTATTGACTGAAGATATTTCTGGAGATATTTCTGTATTTGTTAGGTTGGGTATATTTAAAATTTAATAAGTCGGATGGATTTAGAATTGTTATTTTTGGATAAAGAAATTATTAGGTCGGGTGTATTAAAATTACTATTGGTTGGTCGAAAATATTACTAAACCAGATGCATTTAAAATTGTTGTTTTCCGGGAGAGGACATTATTAAGTTGGCTACTTTTAAAACTGTGAAAATGATATTTATTGCAAAATGATATTTTATTTTAAATTAAATATAAATTATTGAAATTTGATATCGATCGGCTCGTGATATGTATACTTTTCGTTTCCTTTTGTTTAAATAATTGACTATGACTATTATTTGGCGCTTGTATTATTTGCTTCTCTTTACTTCTTGATTACATTTATCGCTCGTCACTCGTATAGTTTATTCTGATGTTAATACTGTTCGTTTATCTTCCACTTGTATTATTAGTTGTGTAATATTGGTGGTGAATTCGTGCCTTCTTCAAAAGAATTGAACATTGTGCATCTGAATTATCAATCGTCAAAGGTTTTATTTAACATTTCAAGAAAAAACTACTGTGCGATAATAAATCATATTTATGCTTTATTTAATTAGTTATGCACGGGTTGTCACGTTAGACCCGTACGATAAATGTATTACTAAATAAATGTGTACGAAACAAAAGTGACAGCAAAAAAAGGTACAGCTTATTATCATTGTTTGGAAAATGACCTTTGATCAAATTTAGTGGATTATGGCATTTTAGTGACATTCATACATGAGTACAATAAATCAAAACAATTTTATTTATCTTCCTTAAACCATGCTGAATAACCTTAGCAATCTATAATGCTCTAATGTACCGGTATATAAAATTTCACTTTTATAAATTCAAATAAATCACAGTGATAATAATAGTCAATCTTACTGCAACAAAAAAACCAATTTTTTAAAGTACAATGCAATGATTAAAGAAATTATCGCTTAAATAAATAAATAAATAAATAAATATAAATGTAACAAATGTCTATAATAAAAAATAGTAAAGTAAAACTATATCAATTTACGAAAATTAGGATAATTAAGAATATAAATGTTCTAGATTTTATTAAGATACAAATTATTTATATTTGAAACAAGGTCTTTCTTAATCAATATGTCATAATGCTTTTTTTTTTTATAGTTTTGAATTCAATTATTATAATAATGTATTATTTTATGTAGAGAAAGGTTTTATTCGGTTAAGACTTGGTTTTGTGTTCCATAAATTGATCAAACTATTGGTTTTTTAAGATATCATAAATATAATATCAAGCTCTTTTTTAGCCATTTCTTTTTTATTGTGAAAATTCAAAATTTTGATAAAATTTTCTGGATAAAGTTCAGCTTCGATTGTTCTTTGAACTGACCAGTAGGTATCACTGCAATAACTTTTCATTAATAAAATCAGAGATAGGACCATTTTTTTTATCGGTACTTGCAATTGAGCAAGAAATCAAATCTTCTTTGTATGCTGAAATATTAAGGAATGTTTATACATCATGTTATCATCGTACTAGAGACGCTTTGTCAAAATATGCTCTACTGGGAGTAAACAAACCCAGCCTAGTTGAGTGTTTTAAGATACATATCTCGAAAAATCTTTCAATGAGTGATTCTTTCACGAAAGGCAGCGGCAGCAGCTCACTCTGAAGCCACCTGCGTGAAGTAGAATTACTGCACGCATAAATATGAAATGTCAAGCGAGCGTAAGCTCTGAATCATGCACGTTATGAATAATTGAATCAACATCATGAATTGAATCAACATCATGAACTGAATCACACAATTAATGTGTAAACGTTCTTTTCAATGTGATCTCAATATATTTTTTATAAGTATATAGTTTATTTTTGTTTTATGCATGAAGCGTAAATAGATTTTCAGCACAAGAATTTGTGACTAATTTTCAATGATAGGTCTTTTACAATATTGACAATCATGACTAAGCGGATCGAATAATTTGATTGTGAGGATTCTCAAAAACATAATTTACAATGCATTTTTAACCTTTGTTAATTACGGAATTTATTTGATTTAGTATGATTTGAGTTATCATACAAAAATTAATATAAAATTATATTGTCAAGAAGTCGACTGTAAACTTGGAAATGTATGATGTTTATCGAAACTCTATTACAAATTTTAACCGTTATGAGCATCTGGTCATTCTTGTTCGCATTAGTCATTTAGCATCTAAATCATTGACTTTAGAATCATTATGACTTTCTTTATGTCAATTTTGGCCCTCTTATACAT